GCGAGAAAAGTTCGAATTCATAGTATTCGAGAAACAGTATGCGAGAAGTACCTGAATGACCTCCTAAATCCGGTGAGATTCTAAAGTGCGCTATCTCATGATGCCAAGAGAGAGAATTCATGAATAGGAGTAAAGCGACGCAACTGATGTTGGTAGGTCAAGTAATTATGAGAAATGGCGAATGTAGTATGTCTGAATTCCATTCATATTCCTCACATCCATACTAAATAGAACATACTTCTCTGACGATTGTCTAGTATATTCAAATTCATATGTAGTACTGTACCTACTCGAGTAGTAAGCAATTTGGGACACAGCCAATGTCTTTGTAAATCTTCCGTGCTAATAATCAATTTAAAACCCTATCAACAGTTTTTAGTGAATGTGAATGAGAAATATAAACTTTTTAGCAAAACATTAAACCTTCAACTTTAATAAGAGTTCTCCAGTGGGGGCCAATTGTATTCCTGCATCCCCCACTGAATTCCTGCATCTCTCCAAGGAAACTTTAGCATTCACTGTCCCGCTCACCATGGACACAGACATATAGATCAATGTCAGAAATGCAGTTTACTTGATTTGCATTAGTTCAGTCACCAAGGATATTGAACACAGAGACTTTTCGTAATAAAACTATTTTAAATTGATTTGAACTGTTTGACCTTAATGTCACTCTTTGCTGGCAGGGTTCCCATCATCATCTGCACTTTTACAACATTTAGTTTTGCTTTGACATAAACATCTGAGGAGTGATTACTCAATAACTGCATTGCTGCACACTCAAAGTAAGAAACACAAAGCTATACCAAACTCAGGGTTTCTAAAGGTTATTAGAGTAAATGTATGAGTTATGAGTTTCGAAGCCTGTTTATGAGATTAAATTTATGAGTTACGACCATTTTAAAACTAACATTTAAATGAATAATACACAGACCGGCCACTTTATTAGGTACAACTGTCTGACTGCTCGTTGATGCAAGTTTCTAATCTGCTGATCACATGGCAGCAACTCAATAGATTTAGACATGTAGACATAATTAAGACGATCTGCTGCAGTGTAAATGGAGCATCAGAATGGGGAAGAAAGGTGATTTAAGTGACTTTGAACGTGGAGTGGTTGTTGGTGCCAGACGGGCTGGTCTGAGTGTTTTAGGAACTGCTGATCTACTGGGATTTTCACGCACAACCATCTCTAGGGTTTTCAGAGAATGGTCTGAAAAAGAGAAAATATCCAGTGAGGGGCAGTTCTGTGGGTGCAAATGCCTTGTTGATGCCAGAGGTCAGAGGAGAATTGCCATACTGGTTCGAGCTGTTAGAAAGGCAACAGTAACTCAAATAACCACTCGTTACAACCGAGGTCTGCAGAAGAGCATCTCTGAACACAAAATATGTACAACCTTGAGGCGGATGGGCTACAGCAGCAGAAGACCACACCGGGTGCCACTCCTGTCAGCTAAGAACTGGAAACTGAGGCTACAATTTGCACAGGCTGACTAAAATTGGACAATAGAAGATTGGAAAAATGTTGCCTAGTCTGATGAGTCTCGATTCCTGCTGCAACATTTGGATGGTAGTCTCAGAATTTGGCGTCAACAACATGAAAACCTGAACCCATCCTGCCTTGTATCAACGGTTCAGTCTGGAGGTGGTGTAATAGTGTGGGGGATATTTTCTTGGCACACTTTGGGTCTATTACTAGTACCAATTGAGCATCATGTCAACGCCACAGCCTACCTGAGTATTGTTGCTGACCATGTCCATCTCTTTATGACCACAGTGTACCCATCTTCTGATGGCTACTTCACTAGCAGAATAATGCGCCATGTCATAAAGCGTGAATCATTTCAGACTGCTTTCTTGAACCTGACAATGGGTTCACTGTACTCAAATGGCAATCAAACAGAGCACCTTTGGGATGTGGTTAAATGGGAAATTCGCATAATGGATGTGCAGCCGACAAATGTGCAGCAACTGCGTGATGCTATCATGTCATTTTGGACCAAAATCTCTGAGGAATATTTCCAGTACCTTATTGAATATATGGCACATTCTTAAAGATTTAAGGCAGTTCTGAAGAAAAAAGGGGGTCCAACCCAGTACTAGTAAAGTGTGACTAATAAACTGGCGGGTGAGTGTATATTGCAACTATGTAAAATACAAACAAGTCATTTTCTCTACAAGTAAATATATACAAATCACACAGTGAGTTGTATGAGCAGGGCTATTATTAACAGTCTGAAAATAAAACTTTGTCCCAAAACTTGGTGATATAATAAGAATCTCATATCACGATATTAGTCATTTTATATCCTGATAATGAAATATATCAGGGTATTCACCTTATTGTTTGCCGACGAGCGGGCGCAGCCATTAGAATCTTTTTGGCTCGAGACTTCCGGTCTCATTCACTCATTCATTTTTAGATATTAAAAACTGCTCGTTACGCTGTTTGATGTTGCAAACTGATATTTTCTTATTATATTATTCTACTTGGTCTGTATACTCTACAAACAAGTGTTTGCATGACTAAGTAGTTTGACCATTTTCTGCTGTTTATTATTCCTAGTCATTTCTCCTACAGGCGACTGAATCGGAAGTTCTAAAACAATCGCGAAATTACCATTTCTTTATATCAGTCAAAAAACAGTTTATATACAGACCACAAATGAGGAACTGTATAATTTTTACATTTTAAATTAAACACTCAGAAATGTCCTCATTCTTATGTGATCACATTTGTCACATTATTTAGAACTTATTTAGCAAATGTTTGAATTAAATTATAAGAATAAATATTAATAAGGTAGAAACATTTTCAAATACATCTAAATAAAATGCAAAATGGAAACATTGTGCATTTCTCACACTGCTGTTATTCGTGTTTCTGCCTGCATCCCCGTAATAGCATTTAATATTGTGCTTGTATTATTTATGAAAAAACATTACCATAAACAATGTATTTTGTTACCCAGTAATACAAATGACTTTTTATCTACTTATTTTTTGGCATTTTGTCTTTATTTGACAGTAGAATTACAGAAAGAGAGAGGGAGAGAGAATTGGGAAAGGTCCACATGCCGGAATATGAATTTGAGATGGCCAGAGCACTGTTGGTGGTTCAGCGATATAACCACTGGGACATTGTGCCGAAACGAGTTTTTATTTGTCCATACGATATCTTGTCATATTGCAGAGCCCTAACTTTTAGAACTTTTAGAAATGTTAAATGAAAAATCTTACTGCATCCAACCTCGGCAATGCAATAAGTCTTGATTGAGCAGCTCAACAATCCCCCCACATTTAATGAGAAAATGTCTTTTTGTTTTTGACCTTAAGAGTTCATACAGTGCATTCACAAAGTATTCATAGCGCTTTCTTATTTCCACATTTTTTGCTACAGTCTTATTCAAAAATGAATCAAATTCATTTATTTTTACATGATGGGAAGCAACGGTGTACAGCCATTTTCAGATCTCTCCAGTGACATTTAATGGGATTTAGGTCGAGGCTCTGGCTGGGCCACTCAAGGACATGCACTGAGTTGTTGTGAAGCCACTCCATTGATATTTTGGAAGTGTGCTTTGGGTCACTGTCCTGTTACAAAGACATTGGCTGGAAGACATCACCCCAGTCTGAGGTCAGGGTGTCATTCAGGGTGCAGGTCTTCATTCAGGGTGTCTCTGAACATTGCTGCATTCATGTTTCCCTCTATCCTGACTAGTCTTCCAGTTCCTGCTGCTGAAAAACATCCCCACACCATGATGCTGCCACCACCATGCTTCACTGTAGGGATGGTATTAGCCTGGTGATGAGCGGTGCCCGGTTTTCTCCAAACGTAACGCCTGGCATTTCCTCCAAAGAGTTCAATTTCATCAGACAAAGAATTTTGTTCTTATGTTCTGAGAGTCTTTCAGGTGCCTTTTGGCAAATTGCAGGTGGGGAGTGGCTTCCGTCTGACCACTCTACCATACAGGCCTGATTGGTGGATTGCTGCACAGATGGTTGTCCTTCTGTAAGGTTCTCCTCTCTCCACAGAAGAACGCTGCAGCTCAGACAGAGTGACCATTAGGTTATTAATCACCTCCCTGACTAAGGCCCTTCTCCCCTGTTCTCTCAGCTTAGATGGCCGGCCAGCTCTAGGAAGAGTCCTGGTGGTTCTAAACATCTACCACTTACGGATGATGGAGGCCACTGTGCTCATTGGAACTTTCAGAGCAGCAGAACTATTTCTGTAACCTTCCCCAGCCTTGTGCCTCGAGACAATGCTGTCTCAGAGGTCTTCAGACAATTTCTTTTGTCTTCATGCTTGGTTTGAGCTTTGACATGCACTGTCAACCCTGGAACCTTATATAGACAGGTTTATGCCTTTTCAAATCATGTCCAATCAACTGAATTGACCACAGGTGAACTCCAATTAAGCTGCTGAAACATCTCAAGAATGATCAGTGGAAACAGAATGTACCTAAGCTTAATTTAGAGCTTTACAGCAAAGGCTGTGAATACTTATGTACATGTGATTTTTTAGTTTTTTTTTATTTATTTTTTTATAAATTTGCAACAATTTCAAAAAAAAAAAAATTTCACATTGTCATTATGGGGTATTGTGTGTAGAACTTTAAGGAAATACATTAATTTAATCTATTTTAAAATAAGGCTGTAACATAAAAAAATGTGGAAAAAGTGAAGCGGTATGAATACTTTCCGGATACACAGTACATCTATTTTTAGGTGTCTTTTAGACGTCTTTTAAACACAAAAATGCTTTGGGGGGTTAACCAAACTATGATATGTTCTCTTTTCTCAGGCTGTGTATTATGTACAGTCACTGAACTCTGAGATGGCCAAGTGGGCCCAACAGGCCCAAACTTCCCCCCTGCAGCGCCGTCTCTACCTCCTCCAGGCCCAGCGGCCCACCCTTCAAATTTGATCTGCCCACCACTGCTAACACCCATCCTGGGCTTCCCACTCATCGGGCCACCTGGCTTCACTCCGGGCCCACCATGGGAGGATGCCTCTCCAAACCCAAACCAGGTGATGAACACACTTATATGGAAAACACTTAATAATAGGAATGAACAATATTCCATAAATCAGCTGACAGTCGATATTTTCAATATTAAAACTCAAGGCGATACGCCTTGCTGAAAAAATAATGTGTGGAAAATGAACGTGCACTAATTTTAAGGGATGATTCACCCCCAAATTAATATTCTGTCATAATTTACCCACCCTCAGGTTGTTCCAAACCCATATAAGCATATTTGTTCTGCTGAAGACAAAGGAAGATATTTGAATTGACGTAATCTCACCAGCCATTTATTGCCATATAAGCTGTAATAATAAAACCTATGGGAATAAATAGATGGGTTGCGAATGGGATATTTACATTCTTCCAATTATGTTCCTTTGTATTCATCAGAACCAAGGCATTTATACAGGAATGGAACAGTATGAGGATGAGTAAATGATGGAAGAATTTTCCTTTTTGATTAAACTATCTCTTTAATTGTCTACCAGGAGTGCTAGCAGTATGTTCAGGTTAGGAATAGGGATGCTCATTTCGGTGAATTTTGGGAACTGACAACCGCTGCTCGCTAACCCAATATTAACCTTGAACTGGTCAGATTAATATTAAATTATTATTTAATTTTCTAAATAATTGATGTTTCTATTTTGTGTCCGACACATTAAATGTTGCATTTTAAAATGCTGATTTATTTTAACATTCAAACATATTACAATAGAACATAACAACAGAGCATCTTTACGCACCTGCAGTGTTTCCAACAGCATAGAAAAACAGAATAAACTAAATAAAAAGAATAAAATAAATAGGCCTGCCATAGATAAGATTCACTTAAATGACAAATTTAGATTACAAAACAAAAGCACTTACTTGTTAATAATTAATAATTGTTTTTAAGAACCAGCATATTTTTAAAATAGCAGGCTACCTCAAATCAATCGCTCAATGGAAAATATGCATTTAATTAATGCTCCGCTGTTATTATTATATCATAAACCTGTGGCAACATTTTTATTAGAAGTCATGATTTTAAAGATTATGTCTTGACCGTCTGGTTTTACCTTAGAACTTGTGTGCTTTTATTGTTTTCATCTCACTCGAGGTTCATGCGAGTGCGCTGCGTGTGATGAAAGACAATGATAAGGCTCATATGTTGACTTTTGTTAAAGTATAGGCTACTACAGCATGTAGCACTTTTTTTCTTTACATACTGTATGATACTTCATTAATTTGCAAAGATGTTTTATAAGCTGTAAAATGAAAGCCTCAGTTTGGTGCGGAGTTATCATTATGCAAAAATCAAGACATTCATTAGATTTGTTTATATAGGCTACTTTAAAAATGTATATGAGCGGTGGCGGAGCGTGCTCTGATGGAGAGAAAATCAGCGCACATTTCAGAATATTTTGTTTTGCAGCTTCTTTCTCCAATTGTGCAAATAAACTGAGATATTTATGATGCAGATCCAGGACTAAGGCAACCAGCATCAGCGCTGGTTTGGCATCAACTCGTCAACTCGAATTACCATCCCGCTAGTTAACAAATCGGTGTTACACATTTATGCAGCCAAATATATATATATATATATATATATTAGGGATGTAACGGTATTGTAAATACCGTCATAGCGCAATATTAATTTTTTTCGATATTACCGAAGTCGCATGACTCGGTAAAACTATAGGTCTTTTGAGAAAATTTGCTTAGGCGAATGAAGCGAACGGGAGGTAGCAAAAACTACAATACCCATCAGCCCATGCTTGACCATCATCCCTTGCGGTCTGTTGTGGCTACAGATCCAGTAATGCGGAAATGGAGTGTGCTGCTAGAAGCGGGGATGAAAAGAGCTGGAAAACTTTAAGGCCCCGTTAACACTAATGCGGTTTAGTTTGAAAACGCATAAGTTTTGCTACGGTTACGCCAACCGTCCACACTACGCCGAAGTTCTCGAGCGCCGAAAACGGAGTGTTTCGAAATGTGTGGATAATGTCTAAGTGTGGATAATGGAAAACGGAGACTTCTGAAAACGGAGGCGGGGCTGCAGACGTTCGCCTCTCTGATTGGGGCTTTTCCTGAATATTAAGTAGCCTAACACGCACAGTTCAGTCCTGCATCATCTCCGTGTAAGTTCAGACTTCGCAAGTTTGATCATGGCTGCAGTCTCTTCTTCTCAGTTTGATATGGAAAAGCAGATTATACCGAGGACACGGGTAAATCTTCAAAGGGAACAGTGTACTTTATAACTTCATTCACATCACCCTGGCTTCGTTGTTTCACTTTCTCAACAATAAAATGTAAACATGATTTAAGGAACTGCCTATTTTCATTTTAATATTAGCAACTTAGACAGCAGACATGTTGAGGCGTCGTGCTGCATAAGATGAGCGTCATCTCCACTGTGTGGATATTTATAACAAAACGGAGCCGATAACAACTGCCTCCTTTCAATTTCAGTGAAAATACGAAACACAGCCTCTCTTTTGCTGAGTATCAGTTTTAATAATCGATAATGGCCATTTTAAAAGTATAACATACAATAAGTTTATACATTATAGGAAATAAAGGCAAGCGATCAGTCAATATACAGAATGTACGTGGTTACATTAATCATTAACTTAACACGTTACCTGAGAACAAGTAATAGATTCCAATGACCGAAGTCAGGGAATATGTCGTTAGATAAAGACAACAAGATAAATGAAATATCCCGTTTAATAAATATAGTGAGATTAGATCCAGCGGGAGATGCTTGATGAGAAGTCCGACTAGCAGAGCTCTCATCTGGGTAGATGGGCTGAGTGTGATTAAATGTTGAATGTGATGAGTTTTCAACAATACTAAATTGAAACTTTATTGTTTTTACATGGTTTAATAATTTTTTGTTATTAAAATTGAAGTTCCTGTTTCAAAGCTTACAGATAGATGGCTAATTTGTATGTCATTGACACTTTTGGCACTTTTTTGGAGTATTTTCATAAGTTTTGTTTTTTTCCTGTAAATGATTCAATAAATACCGTACCGTGACATTCAAACCGAGGTATTACCGTACCGTGAAATTCTGATACCGTTACATCCCTAATATATATATATATATATATATATATATATATATTTATTTATTTATTTATTTTTTATCGTTTCACTGATTCCATTAATTGGTTAAAAATGCACCCTTTCGGTTAACAGTGAATCAATTATTATGAACATTCCTAGTTAGCAATCTGCTAATTTTCGAGTATAATTTTACCTGTATGGTCAGCTAGATGGTTTTGGATTGACACCTTGAAATAGTGAAAAATAGTAAAACATGAAAGAACATGGCTATATTATGGCTATTTACACAGAACACATTTTCCATTCCAATGCACTACTTTTCATTGTTTTTCTATGTAAACATGGGCTTGACAGATGTGCGTGACTTTTATGCTCGCATCTCACGTCCTTTACAGCATCTCCAATATGAGGCATGTTTAAGATGCTTTGACAGTTTAAAAGAATTTCAACATTCACATCCAGCACAGCTCATCAATGTTTATTCCAAAGCAGTGGACTAATTAGAAGAACTCAATTACAGGGCAAGTGTTGTGAGTTTCTGTTTACAGTAGCAAGTTGGCATGACGACTGTATTATTTTACTGCAACATGGAGGAGGAAGCACTTTTAAAAAATTCTTGAGTGTTTCATCTTCTGTTTTTAGACACAAAGATGCATTGAATGCATCCTCAATCCTTTTTTTTTTTTTTTTTTTTTACAAAATTGCTCCCAATCAGCCTCCCCCTGGGTCCCAGTACAAGCCCAATAGAAAACTGATTATTTAAGGGTCACACTATTAAAAAATGAAAATAAAATATATTAATATTTAGATAGCTCTATTAATTGGTGTCAAAAAAACTAAATCAGTCAATAAATTAAATTTTATTTCCTAAAAATTACTAAAACAAAAAAAAACATTGGTATCAGCTATCTAACACCTATATATATATATAGCAGTATGGCTGTTTATCAGCACTGGTGGGAGGCGTGCGTTGGCATGTGAGTGTCCCACCAGTGCTGATATACAGCCATATTGCACTGCTATGAGTGTGATATTGCATTTATACAACAGTTTGACAGCATAATCGTGTGCATATAAAAGAAAATCAAACACGAAGAGTTTAAAAACCCTTTTGTATTAGAAACTACTTTCTTCAGCCATTCATTCACATCTGCAGCTGACGTCAGAACAGCAGAAGCCATTACTAATTCACCAACCTCACTTTAGAGCTAGTATTTGAATGATTCTCTAGCGTAATGTCTAAAGTGATGACAAAACAGGTGATTTTGCTGACATTTTAAGATTATAAGGCTGAACGTGACATGAAATGCCATCAGTCTACAGAGACTATCTATTACAGCCTACAGTATTTCTTTGTTGCAATTGGGATTTCACAATAATTAACCTCGAAAAAAGCAGCACAAAAACTACCAGATGCTGTTGTGTTTGCGATAAGGCAAAACGCTAAACACGTGCGGGCATTTCTTCTTTCTTTCTACCAACACAACACAAATTCCTGATATGAGAGTCCCATCTTACACTCAATACACTACAATATCACTTACCGGTTTAATAATGATTTGATTCGCTGTTGTTAGGAATTACGCTGTTTTAATCTTCTAAGGGCTTATTATGCAATTCTGTCACCATCTTGTGTATAGACAACCTCAACCATCTTTGGTCTGCTCAGTATGGCAAGCTAATGGCCGCAGACGTGCTCTCAGAATATCAGAAATGATAAATATTTTAAAATAGGCACTATCCATATAAATAAACTGCATAGTTGCAAACTAAACAACTACATTCTCCACTAAAAAAGCTTCATACATTATGTTGTCCAAGTGTGCTTGTTGCTGTATGTGGGCAGAGTAATACTGAAGGGTGAAAGATGAAAAGGCGGTACAAGTGCTGTTACTGGCAGAATATCACACAGCTATCAGCCAATCAGATTCAAGAACCAGACAGAACTGTTTTAGATATATATTGGCATATCAACACAGGCTCATTGTGAATATGTACCCCTGTATAAATTTCTGGAGAGCGCAAATTATGTAGCCAGAACTACCTATGGCTGCATTTAGTCTGTAAAATGAATGCTACAGGGCTGTATGACGCCACCGACAGCTTCTGTTTCTTTTCGCGCTACCAGCTGACAGATTACCTCTGTGTGGATGGCTTTTTTTCGGCTGTTACCAGTTTGTCCAGTGGCTTGCCATGTACATTGGCAGACTTTAGACGCAGAGAGGAGCTGACAGCGACGGCAGGGTTCAAGTCCAGTGAAGATCGGTTCCCGAAAGCAGGTAAAACAAAAACTAAAAGCAAAAAGTAAAATAAACAAATAAATAGCAGAATGAGATCGTGTTAAGATCTGAAAACATGGTAAAAATCAGTCAGGGCTTTTATTTTCTGGATTGGTTTTGGAAAATATTGTTGGTTGGGTTTAGTGAAGGTGGTGAGTGGGGGTTGAAGGGTTCAGTCGATCAGTCAGTCAGTCAGTCGACTGCCTCTGGTGCATTTACGCGAGAAGAGCAGGAGCAAATACCACTCATGAGAGAAATTTGAGATCTGAAAAAGCGTACACAGCGGCCTCTGGTGGATACGCGAAAACAAAAACTGCAAACAGACGTACCTTCTGGGATGTATTTCGCACGGAAATGTATGCAGGGGTACATATCCATAATTATCCTGGTTTGATATATATATAGGTCAGTTAACATGGCTTCTGACTGCTGTTGTGATGTAGCTTTCCTTTAGTGCAGGAGGAATTTTAATGCTCTTAATTGCTCTGTGTTCAAGAGGATTAGACAGTGGAATATGAGTTCAAATGTTTCACAATGTATCGCTGTTTCTCCCATACGGTGGCTGGGGGAGGGAACACCACGAAGGAGCACCGAAATGACTTTCATCTGCCCAAAACTCAGTTGTGAAAGCATGACCGTGGGTGTTGAATTTCAGCGGGTCAAGAGAAAGGTTGAACGATCTGAGCCAGACTGTGACATTTCTGACTTCTGTCACTGTTTGGAAAATCACACAAGACATAAGGCTCTGTTTTGAGCATAGAGTATGTCTGAGTATCGGGATGTGTTCGTTTACTGATTTTATCACAAACGACTCTTGCGGTGTGTTTATTCATTAGATTCCCAGTACTTGTCATTTGGAGTACTGTGAGTGTGAATTAATTTGACAAAATTGTGAAAACTTCAGGGTTTCATTTTAGAAAAGTTATTATAGTATGCGTTTATATACAGTGAGGAAAATATTGAAGTATTGAACATTTTTCTCAGAAAACATATTTCTAAAGGTGTAGATGACCTGAAATCATCTACAAATAAATCCACATATGCAAAGAAAACAAGGGTGATTAGCTCACAAATTAAGTTGTGCAATAAAATGCAATGACAAAGTAAAAGTATTGAACACATGAAGAAAGGGAGGTGTAGAAAGGCAGTAAAAGCCCAGACAGCAACTGAAATCTTTCAGTAGTTCTTCAGCAACCCTCTGCTATTCACATTGAAAATGAATATTAGCTGCTTAAGTCTAACATCAACATTATCAGGATGATAGAGATGACATTTCAGCAGGACAGCGAGGCAAAACACAGGCAAGGAAACTCTCAAATGCTTTCAGAGAAAGAAAATCAAGCTGAAGAATGGCCCAGCCAATCCCCTGACATGAATCCAATAGAAAATAAAGCTCAGATTTGATAGACGAGACCCTAAGAAGCATCAAGATGTTTACACTCTGTTGAAGTCTGTGAACAAATCACAACTGAGCAATGCATGTGACTTCATTCTCCATGAGAGGCGTCTTTAAGCTGCCATCACCAAAAAGCCTTTCATATAAAGTATTAAATGAGTTCCATTGTTATTGCACACAACCAATTTTGTTTTTTTATGTTTGTATTGTTTGGGTTTTTAACAAAATCTGGTTCAATTTCATGTCAACAGCTCGTTTAGAAATATTACTTCCAGGAAAAAAAAAAACATAACACATTCAATACTTATTTCCCACACTGTATATAGGTGAATCTAGAATTGCAGTTACATTTTGCATCTCCAACTTTTTTTTGAAAACAAAAACTTTTTAAAAATCCTGTAAAATTAAAAATGTTTTTTAGATGTCAAAGCATCAGTATGTTAATTTTAATGATATTTATAAGCTAGTGTGCTCAAAAACAGTAACAAAATCCACATTTAGAGAATATAAACCTAACATAAATATCAGAATCTTGCTGTTTGTCGTCTCATACTTCATTTTCTCATCAAAAGCTTTAAAATAAATTTACCCACAATTCTCTAATGCATGCAAAAATCAATAATTCAAATGTTTCCCTTCTACAAAAATAAACCGTGAACTTCAAAATGTTATAGACTCCAAATCCAAACTAATTCGCTTTGCTAAGCTGAAACTACCAACGAAATGATTCTAAAAGATTGAACGTAGTGCAAAATATAAATAAATATATACATAAACGTAGATCTGAGAGAACTGGAGCTTTGTAGGCTGCATACAGGAAAGAGATTTTGAGTGTAGTTTCATCAATTAGATGAGCGTGCTCATTAATGATCTGTCATATGGTATTTTCTCAGTTCTGACATGGAAAACAAAGGGTCGTCGGCTAGCTCTGAGATGCTGAGTTTCCTTTCCTTTCCTCCGCCGGCTCAGTCATCTTGCATGATTTTCCATTGATTTTAATTAAGCTTCACTCAGCAGGTGTGAATTCCTGTGTGATTAAGGCGTAAGAAGCAGGCCCTCAGCACATTTTTCCAGCCACAGAGAAAACCAGACAAGATTGGTTTGCACTGGAGGCACATTGCACAATCACTATAAAGACAGTGTAAATTAAAATAGTGCTTCTAGTGTTCTTCTCCAACAAATGCTTGTACTTATATTTGTTATTGGAAATTAATGAGACGTTTAACCCAAAAATCTAAATGCAGTAATTACCTGCCCTGTCGTACTCAGTGGGTCTCATCTTTTTAGTATTTATAAGCACATTTGAAATTGTCAAGAAAAATTTACACCAAGGTGTACACATATGAGCTTGTTCTTAACCTCGCTTTTTGGAGTCTCCTAATGAGCGTTCATGTGCACATTTAATTTGTAATTTGCATAATACATGCCCAAACTAGCTCCATATAAGGGCTGTCCACAAAGCAGCACTCCTCCAGAAAAAGACACTTATGTACGGTGCCCGGGAAGTGCAAAACAGCATTACAAAGTGTGAAACACTTTTACAAAGCTCGAGACAAATTTACATTTTGGAAAACATTTTTACCTATCATCAGACATAATTCCGTAAGAAAAACAATTTTATCAAGGACGAAACAAATTTATGAAATGCTATAGAAATGCTATGTGAAACGCTAATGTGTATGCGCATCGTTTTCATTCTAAAATGCCGTTTAGAAATCTAAAACATATTAGTGTAAACGGGGCCTGACATAGGACATACTTGATTATTTATCCTCCTGGGACCCAAAGAATTTTTTTCTTTTTCTTTTTTATGTGATTTCCTACATCCTTTGGGTTGAAACAAAATTCTACAATTTAGCGTTTTTACATTTTGTTTTTATTTTTAATTTTACAGCATGCCCACTGTAGTGGACCACAGGACCATTTTAGTTCGAAACAACCGCCAAACTCAGACAACAAAACTGTACAGGATATGGCTGTAAAGGAATATTAATCCAATATTAGTGTAACAAAATCAAAAGAAAAGCAATTTGTTTCCTTTTGTATTGAAATTCCTGAAACAGATTAGTCTGAAAGAAAGCCAAACTCAAAAAAAAAAAAAATCCAAATGGATTAAAGTGCTGTTAATCCAAAACAAATTTAACATAAAAGTGATTAAAACTGATTGTCATTCTCTAATTGTCTCTAATTCTCTAATTGTCTGATTGTCAGACTCCAAGTCAGAGCCCCTCTTAACTATCTTATAAAGAATCCTCTCTGCTTCAGTTCTGCCTCCTACAGCATGCAGTCATTAATTACATTAAGATGGTCCTGGTGTCCACTATAGTGGACATTTAGAAAAGGATGATATTTTGAAACACAAACAAGTTAACAGGTTTGAAAGCTAAATTTATTGTTCCTGACATTTTAATAAACAAATATATATGTAATAATAAAAGTAAAAAATTATTTAAATAGCAAAATTTGACATACTTCTCTCCTTGCCATAAAATGTGCTTGCTTGTATGCTGGCCATATTGGATGCACTGCAAGAAGTGGTTCCTGGCATCCCAGCCAATCAAATGACATTTCATTAGAAAGCCCAGGATGTCCTCTGCACTGTACAACAAGACTTGACAGAGTAGCTCAAAAAAAAAAACAAAGACAATTCATGAAAACACAATGTCCACTACAGAGGGCACAAGTCAATGGACGGGGTCTCAAGAGGCTATATGCTGATTGGATATTGTACAATTTCAATGATAAATTGGCATGGTCAACATCCTAAGCCTGCTCCTCACAAAATGTGTTTACAAAACATCACTTACGCAATTCTTCAAATATAAATAAAAATAGTAAAAATTCAGGTAAAACGGGTGCTCAGAGCCTCACTATGCTACTGGTGTTCTAAAAAAGACAGTGCTCTCACTGAAAACAAGTGAAAAAATATGCTAAACTTGAACAAAAAAATTCTTTGGTGGACATCTGCCCTATTTGAAAATGATATTGACATTTTATTGTTTTTTAAATACAGTGATCTGCAGTTAAATATAGTAACATTCAGTGTAGCACATATAATACTTTTTATATAAATCATAATCCAATGTTTTTAATGGCTGCAATTACAGACAATTATGAATTTAGACTGAACTAATCGACTAGCTGTCTAGCTAGCCAATGTATTTTATCTTATATCATTTATTTCATGCACTTTTTTTTTGCAGTAGAGGTCAAAGTTGAGCTCACTCTTTTGGACAAAGAGAAGGAGGTGGACTTGATGTCTCCGAATGGAAAGGCCAGTCCATTTTCAGAATGCAGACCCAACGGATCTCTGGGACACTGTTCGGATGAGGACAGCATGACACTGCGGCCACAGCGGAAAAACAGAGATTACATAGAAGCATCTGTCTGCCACATAAAAGACCTGGAGAATGGACAGTAAGATCTGTACACTACTGATTTTGCGCATGTTTGAATGCATGTTTGTGTGAGTTCATGAAGAAAGATTATTTAGCAAAACACTCAGGGAACACTACTTTCCAAGTCTTTTTGCCATGATGCTATTGACCTTATTCTGCAATACAGAAGTGCGCTCGTTTTTGCACTTGTTTAAGAACTTCCAATTCAGTTGCCAATGGGAGAAATGACTAGGAATAATGAATAGCAGAAAACGGTCAAACTACTCGCTCTACAAACAAGTGTGTTCATGACTATATATAAATGTTAAATAATATAAGAAAACATCAGTTTGCAACATCAAGCAGCATAATAAACAGTTTTAACGGCTAAAAATTAATGCAAGTGAATGAGACCAGAAGTCTTGACCCAAAGATTTCCAATGACGGTGCACACTAGAGAGAGGTCTGGATGCAGACCTGGTGCCGTGCAATCTGAGCTGCATCCAATGCTATTTAATGTGCTAACCCTACCCCTAACCCAACCAGTCACCGTGACGTCACTCACTCCATTGAGTGCATTGTGTCTGACATTGCATCGCTGATTGATGCAATCTCAGCTTGCATCACAAAGGCTGCATCCAGATACTATTGGCCCACTCGATGCCCACTCTTTATCACTCGATGATAAAGTCAGCATGGACTTTTAATTATGTAATATGATGTCAAAAAGCTGTTTTTTAATTGAAAATAATTTTTTCATGCACAAAGTTTCTTTTTGTGCATTGAAAAGATTTTAATGGATGTTAAAAGTTCTTAATGGAAAACAGGCTTAATGTATAACATTTAAAAAATTGCTATATTTATATATACATATATATATATTTATTTATTTATTTTTATTATTATTTGCCCCCAAAAATAGTCATCTAAAAATAGTTTACTTTCATTATAATTTTGTTCTCTCTTGGAACATTTTGTGGATTAGAAATTTTTTCAAATGTATAAAAAACACTTGAATATTGCTTCATTTTTAGCTGACATAGTATATTAAGTGGGATATTAAATATACTGCTGTTAAAGAAAGTGACATTTTTAGTTTAAAGAGCTTTTTGGACAAAGTTTGTAATTTTAAAAGGAACTTATTATGCAAAATCACTTTTATAAGAGGTTCACAGCAAGAAGGTCACTGGTTCGAGCCTCGGGTGGGTCAGTTGGTGTTTCTGTGTGGAGTTTGCATGTTCTCCCCGTGGTCATGTAGGTTTTTTCCAGGTGCTCCAGTTTCACCCACAGTCCAAAGACATGTAGTACAGGGGAATTGGATAGGCTAAGTTGTCCGTAGTGTATGAGTGTGTATGGATGTTTCCCACAGATGGGTTGCAGCTCTAAGGGCATCCGCTGCATAAAACATATGCTGAATAAGTTCGCAGTTCATTCCGCTGTGGCGACCCCAGATTAATAAAGGGACTAAGCCAAAAAGAAAATGAATGAATGAATGAATGAATGAACACTGTAAAAAAAAGTTGACTCAACTCAAAATTCTGAGGCTTGCTGCAGAGCTTTTTTGAGTTGACTCAACTTTCAACACAAAGGTTGCCTTAAAATTTTAAGTTGAATCAACTTTTTTTTACAGTGCAGTTGTGTGGAAACAGCTTTTTTTTAAAGATTTATTTTTGGCCTTTTTGGCTTTATTAGAAAGGACAGTATTGAGACAGGAAGCGAAGTTGGAGAGAGAGAGAGAGAGAGAGAGAGGTGGGTAGTGAAATGTCCTCAAGAAACCCTGACGTGCTACTGCACCATATGTCGGCCTGCTAACCACTAGGCTATTACGCTGACTGGAAACAGTTTTTAAGGGTAAAAAATTTTTTTTACTTATTTTTTTATCACACTTCATTAAAGTCTACAGAAAAACTATGATTGACTTTTTCCCTTTATACATGTATTTAGAGGGGGAAAGTCCTGTCCATTAGTGACAATCTCTCCCTCATTAGCATTGGTACTTTAGTCTTGTTTTTTAATCCGCCACTATCCACTTGTTAAGTGTGACGTCACGCGAAGCGGCTTCCGGGTCCAAGCGCTCTATTCAACTGTATGGGGAGACTCATGAAATGGTAATAATAAACGTTTACAAAGCGATTTAATGCTCTCGAAAATCACGATCGCAGTATATATGTCCATGCCTAATATCCGATGGCCAGAAAGTGACAAATTTTTTTTATAAATTCGTACATTTTTGGTATTTGTTATGCAGCAAGCCCAGAGATTGTTGTGTAAACTATGATTTTATATAAAATTTACTTTAATGTGTGATAGGAATAAAACGTGATCATAAACAAAAAAAATTTTCTCCACTCAAATGAATGGCGGCTTGGACCCGGAAACAGTATTACATACGTCACAAACACGTCACCACTTAACAAGCGGATGATGATACACTGGCATTTGTAACTCCGCCCTCTTTTGAAAAGAAAACAATCTTATTTAAATTTAAAGCGTCAGTGACCAAAATGGCACAATTAGGATCAAAGCCTAGACGGGGCAGTTTTAAAGAGTTATAAAACATTATTTGTGGGGTATCTTAAATTGAAACTTCATACACACTCTAGGGACATCAGAGACTTATTTTACATCTCGTAAAAAGGGGGATAATTGGTCCCCTTTATTGAGCATATAAATTATCAATACTTTAGTTCGTTTTCCAGAAACACAAAGATTGTACATTGTTAAGCTGATTAAATGGATTTTAAGTCAACTATCTTGAATGCATAAATACTGGACATTACAGAACAGATCATATGTGTTTTTTTGTTTATCAGAATGCGTGAGGTGGATTTGGGGGCAGGTCGGGCTCTGCTCATTAAGGAACATGGAGAATTCTTTGCCATGGGACACAAGTGCCCACATTATGGGGCTCCACTGGTCAAAGGTGAGGGACGTCCTGTGGTCCTCTCCATTGCAGAGATTAACTGTTTGAACTGAACATTTTTGATTGTGTTTTGTAAAACTGTTCCTTTAGTAATAGTGTGTATTTAAAAGTATTTCTCCTGCAGGTGTGCTGTCAAAAGGGCATGTGCGATGTCCATGGCATGGGGCATGTTTTAACATCGCTACGGGGGATATTGAGGATTTTCCTGGACTAGACAGTTTGCCTACTTTCCAGGTAACACGTTTCTCTTCAACATTAAACCTTGACTGGGACATTTTCTATCCAAAGATGTAAATTTGACTTATGTGCAAAACTGGAATATCACATAAAACATTTGTGAATGAAGCAGCGTTGCCATTCAAAGAGTCAATGAGGGGATGATGAACTGGTGCTCTTTTGGAGTGTAGTCACCAGGACTGCTTAGTGTATTATTTTATTTTTGCTTTATATGCTTGTATATATTATAATTTATGCAGATGCACTGCATTGAAAAAGACTTGACCAGGCAATCTAAATTTAGGAAATCTTCCCAAATAGAGCCGTTCAATTCATCTGGTAAAACTATACTCATACTCAAAACAAAATATCGTAATTTCAGATTTTTCCAATATCATGCAGCCCTAGAAGACACTCAGGACACTTCTGTAGGTAATAATACTGAACAGCTTTGATGATGGACTTAGATGCAAGGATTTCTGAATGACAAAAACTAGATTTCAGATGTTGTGCAATGGGGTTGGTCTGCTGGTTTGTCTATGAATGCCAATCAATTGAGCCCATTTTCATCACATGATAAGTTAAAAAAAAATCATATTACATTTTTAATGGCCATCCTACAAGCAACTGTATTTCAATCCTAGTGTATGTGTGGAATAAATTGTTCAAGGGTAAATGGTAAGGGTTTTTTGCAGGACATGACATTAACTTTTTTGACCACCAGCCTCTGTGGCTAGTAGTTTTCCAATGTTAGTAGCCATTTGCAATATTTACAAGCCACAATTTTGTTGTTGGGAAAATATATTTTTTTTTATGCAAAGATTTGACTTTGACATGCTAAAATTACTGTACTTTAGATTTTGTGTTTGTCCACATTAGGCATGCCTTCTCATTCATTTCACTTATTTATGTGTTGTGTATGATCTTGTTCTGTGTGCATGAGCAAATGGGTTGTGGTTTCATAGTGTTACATTGCAATTAGTTTTATTTCACAAGACTTTTTCAAGACTCAGTACTAAAGATTTACCTTTTTTTCTCTAGCCACACCAAATTAAATATTTCCTTGCCTAAGTCATAGAGAGCATGGAGCAAAAGCATTAAGGGCGTGTCTGGATCCACTTTTGCTATTTTAAGGATGGAAAAATAAGATTTGCGCTCTGGCGCATGGTCTAACAGGGTTGTGCTTATTCTCTTAATGAGTTATGGAGGTTTAATGTGTTTTTAATGTACATTAAACCAATCAGAGTTGGCATGTGTTTTTAATGTACATTAAACCATTTCTTTTAAGAGTCAGTTGTGTCACACCATAGCATTTCTTATTTACATGGCGGACTTTGTAAGTGGAAAAACTGAAGGTTTCACTAGCGAGAAAACAGTTCAACACACCATCTGCAGCACGAGGACAAAGAACAAGCCTCCTCCATTCGGCCTCTTTACTTTCTCTTTACATTTACTTTTTAATTTCCTCCTTTACTTTCGTGGATAAGGAAACGGTGAAAACTCACTCCACTAAAGACATCCATTAACCTACATATTTAATTTCATTTGTTAAGCACAAAGATTTGTTTCAAAACTATTTCTAAATTCAGTTTTAATTTCCAGCAAACAAATAAATGAACAATAATAACGAAGTGTGGTCAAACAACTGAGTTATATTTAAACACGCATCCTATTCTTCCTATGCTCCATATGGTGATGCAGATGATTCCAAAACCCTTCAGGTGGACAAATCTAAACTTGTTTTTATTAAAATAAACATAAATATACATATAATAAATAATACTGCTAATAATAATATTAACCAAATGCAAATTCTCATGAATAAACTGAAAAAGTCCCTTGAAATGAAGAAGGCATGGAGTTAGTGGTATGTTTTATATTTATGTATAAAACAATAATTTTTGTAATATTTTAATGCTTTTTATTCTTTTTTTATTTGTAAAGATATTTGTGTATTGCTGTACATCCTGTGTGTATTAGGCAATGTGTTTGCATTTATTACACACAACCAACAGCTGGTCTATTGAACAGCCTATTTTAGTTCCTCAAAATAGCAAAGCGCCAACAATGCGCCTTAACACACCTCCTTTCTAGACTGGAACACCCATGAGTCCACAAAGCGGTGCAAATGCATTTGCAATTTAAACAACGTGGCGCAAAGCAGGATAATTAGGGTTGCATTGGTATGAAAATACCAACAAATTGTGCCAAACACGTCTTGCGCCTTATTGCACCGGGCATATGATAGGGCCAAAAAGTGTAAATTTACTGACACATCATGTTTTCTGTGGGAAAATATTCACAAGTTTACTTTCAAATAAAGAATGAGACCAATTGATTTGAAAAAAAAAAAAAAAAAAATTTTCCTTACACATTTCTATAAACCCTGAATATGTTGGAGTTCATCAGAGGAGAGAAAATGAATCTCAGGATGTGTCATCCCTAACCAGTGTGGGTGTTTTCATAATCCCTCTGTTACATAATATTCTGTCAAGCCAATTTGTTTTTCTTACTATTTCAGGTCAGAGTCGAAAAGGAGAAGGTGATAATAAGAGCAAACAAGCAGGTAAGTGTCTCTCTCTCTCTGTCTACAGTATGTGTGCAGAGACAGTTACATTTAACAGCAGCTGTAAATAGTGATGTGAGAAATCATTTGTTTCCTCACAGGCCCTTCAGACTCAACGGCGATCAAAGGTTATGTCAAAATGCTCTGCCGTCATCAATTCCAGCACTGGATTCAGTCACGTTCTCATTATTGGATCAGGTTGGAGCCATGATATTATAAAATGACACCAAATTGCATTAAAACGACATGAATTCACTTTATAACATTATTTATTACACTGAACCTCAATGAATGTTTATTATAACATACAGATATGTATGTGTGTTTCTAAAGTTGTTAGTTAACCTTAAAATTAAAATGATCATTATTTACTTACATTCATGTTGTTCCAAACCCATCCAAAAAATAATCAGTGGTGGAAAAAGTACTGAAAAGTCATACTTAAAGGGGTGGTCCACTACGATATTATATTTTAAACTTCAGTTGATGTGTAATGTATCTGTGTGAACATAAACAGCATCTCTGAATGTAAAATATTCAAAGTTTAATGCAAAGGGAGACCTTGATTTGTACAGAGTTAGCTTAGCAACGCCTACAATTAACGAATTTTGGGGACTACAAAAAATACTTCCGCCCCCTGTGAGATCACAAAAGTTCGTTATTGCGCATCCCACACTGCGCAGGTAAAGGCCGTGGCCAGAGGCGCTGTAACGTTACTGCAGAGAGAGAAATGCCATCCTGCTGTTTCCACAGAGCTGTTCTGTTTCTGTTGTTGGGCTTCCAAATGACACGACCCAAACACAGAAGTGCTTACAGTTCAATATTAATTATGTTCCAGAGAACTATAAAATACATAGCAAGCATGATTTGACAAAACACAGCTTCCAGAATCTCTCCCAGTTCAGTGCTGGATTCAGTTAAAATCTTCTCAAAGATGGAGCAAGGAGACGCTGTGAACTCTGAGTCATGACCTGTAAGTGTTTTTATTTGTTAAAATTGATCATGACATGTACAGTGTCTAACTTTAACGGTGTGTTGTAGCAAAGATGTAAACAACGGGAAATTATGGTAACCGCTAACGACTTAGCTAACGTTACAAATCCATATTTATCAAACGGCTGTAAACGCACACACACACACATACACATACACGCACTCTTGGCCAGCACCTGCGTCTATCTGTGTGAGACGGCAGAATTTCTCTCTATAGGCAGCTATGGTATGCGTTTTACAACTCGGACAATAAAGTCGCAAAAGATATGTGAACGATTCATGTTACTTACACAGGCATATTCCGCATATGCATGAAAGACGTCCTGTAACGCATTGATTTAAAAAAAATACAGCAATGATTTCCCAACTGGAGTGTAACATCAAAAACAAATCAATCCAGGCTCACAAAGGTCTCATCTCACATCTTGTGCTTTATTCTGTCACCACAGAAAATAACTTAATCCGAGCATGAGAGAAAAAGAACAATAAAAATCTCTCCCGCGCACATGCGCTTCTCGTGTTACAAATACTTCATCGTATACACGCATAAACACACTAAAAGGCACAGAAACAGTTAAAGGAGCCGCATCCCATTTTCACTCGTTACAGACACGTGTTGACTGACTGACTGACTGACTGACTGTTTACACAAAACGCGCGTGCTTGTCAGGGCGTGACGTGAAGCCGATCGGCGTATCACAGCATATTATGATGATGACCAATCAGAGTCACTTGAGGGTGGGCCTTTTAGAGGAACTAGGAAATATGACAGTCGTTTTCATGTTAGCTGAGTAGCTGTGTATAATCAAAGTGAGATTTATGAAAAAATAACACGATTTCCTTCAAGTTAAACATGAGCACACATTGCTTTGCATCTTATTAACACAACCAAGCCTTAAAAATAACATTCTGGACCACCCCTTTAAGTAAAAGTACCATTGCTTGCCTAAAAATGCAGTAGAGTAAAAATAACAAATAAATAATAATAAATAATAAATACAAGTAGAGTAAAAATAACTGTTGTAAATATTACTCAAAGTATGAGTAAAAAGTAGCCCTTTCAAAAATACTTAAGAGTAGTGAGTACACTGTAAAAAGCTGATGCGTCTACATGTAATTTGTGGGTGTGTGTAAACGTAACATTATGTAGTGTATTTATTCATTGCCCAGCAGGCACACAACGTCACAAGACAGTAATATTGGGTTAGATTTAGGTTGTGATATCAGGTGACCAAAATTCAGTGTTTAGCTGACATCTAAGGACAACGTTATTTTGATGTCCAATAATGACGTCAAATGACGTTGATATTTGGTCGATTTTAGGTTGTGTTGGAAAGTGACCAAAATCCAATGTCAATCCAACATCTCAAAGCAACGTCATACAGACGTCAAACACTGACGTATATTCGTCAGGCATGGCAACCAAAATCCAACATTTGATAGCATCATAGTGGTAACTTTCACACAACGTCAAGCTGTAACATCATTAGACTTTGATATTTGGTTGCTTTTAGGTTGGACATTGACGTTGTTGGCCTTATGTTAGGTTCTGACATCAACCAATTTTTATTTCCAAACAAAATGTAATGTCCCCACAACATTGCTTTCACTTCTCATACTGACGGAGGGACACGATTCGTCTGTGAATGAATCTCCGTTATGGACGACTCGTTCACTAGCCGACAATAATACAAGTTTCTGGCACCGCAGCATCTCGTTGTCATATATCTTTTACATTGTTTGCTGATTTTATTCAACAAAACTAGCATAAGCTGAGTATTTAGTGCGAGTTGTAGTTACTTTGCCTTATGGTGAATGCAATAAGTGACTGCATTATCATCAATAAAGTTACCTGTTTAGCACAAAAGTTCAGAACATACAAAAATGTAAAAAACTTAATATTACCTATGAAATATTCTGCCTTTGTGCTTTGTTTTCTTTGTTTGCTTGTTACTACACCCGTTGGCATCGCAAAAGTCCCGCATCTTCATGTAATAACACTGTCTTGACTAGTGCGGTTGAATGACACTTGTCCTGGGAGCACTGTACCAATGTGGCGGCGCTATTGACGAATGCTCAGGGTCCCTATGCGATATCTAGTGTATATATCTATGGATGTTTATATGTGATTAAAGGCTTAAGTCATTAAAAAAAGCATTATAAAGCAAAAATGTCTCTTCTAAAGACTTGAATTTTAACGTCTTGATTTTGTCATGATTTTTTTTTCTGAAGCATCAGGTTTATGAATGAAGCGTAATATATTTGGTTTCTTAGTTTAATTCATTATTTTTTAATTTAGTTAATCCAAAAAATGAAAATTTTTGCTGTTAATTACTCACCCACATGTCGTTCCAATCCTCTGAGATCTCCAGTCATCTTTTGTACATCTTTCATCCTCCATAGACAGCAACGATTCTGAGGCGTTTTAAGTCCAGAAAACTGGAACTAATCCTTTAAAAAGATCTTCATTTGCATTCTGTTGAAGGTGAAAAAAAGTGTAGTTTATGGGTTTGGGATGACATGAGAACTAATAAAAAAGCTGAATTTTCATTTAAATCAAGGGGTCATGGATTTTAAAATGATTATTCTAATATGTTCCTTGCAGTTCACTTTTAATGATTAGGTTTTTTTTTTTAAATGTGTACTGTATTTTTATTATACTTTTTCAACCCTTATTCTGAAGTTATTTATTTTTAAACCAAGATTTGTCAGTAAAGTTAAATGGTCAATGTTATTACGGATAGGATAATACAAATAACAATGCAATGTCAATATATTACTGCGGTCGCCGGTCGGTCACGCCATCTGCGGTCCTGAGAGAGACGGTCAAGCTGTCTGTGCTTCAAAATGTAGTGCGCGTCCGTCTACTCGGTGTTAAGCGGAAGATTGAAGACGCGTGTTCAATGCGCTGCAGTTTTATAATCTTTTTTTTCGCATAAATTATTTTAAATTAGAGATAATCAAAAATGGTCTTTTTAGTTCATGTTTGGATATATAACAATCACGACTTTCCATGTAGGCTATGTTATTATTTATTTGTTTTGCTGTAATTGTTTTTTATTTGCGAGTTTAAAATAAAATAAATAGCACTTAAAAAATCATTACCCAGCTGTCATAACTATCCACATTTGTTTTCATATTCACAACCTACTATTAAGGTGTCTACTGTATACTGTATAATTATAACTTATATATAAATATAAATAAAAATAAAAATAAATAATAAAATTAAATATAAAATATTATTTATTGGTTCATTTGTTTTTCTGTAAATATTTTCCCTTTTTTCATTTGTAATGTTGCTCAATTAATAATAAAAACTTAATTTATTATTGTACAAATGTTTATTTTGCTTACTTAAATCGCATATAAATAATAACATACCAAAATATATTGCTTTTGAGTATTTTGAAACGGTTTAAACTCTGTTTTTAAACAACCATCACTTACAAAGCATTATAAAAAGTTTACTCACGGTTTGCAGTTCTGTCAGATGGCTAACGTTAACGTGCTAATGTCCATGATGGTATTTTCTGAAGGCTGAACAAAAAGTATTGTCAACAAACTTTTAAAACAGGACGCGTCTCCTTTCCATCTTTATTTGTCTTCTCGATGACAGAAACTGAATGACCAACTGCATACGTTTGCAATATATAGACACCGTCGGAGTTTAAAACAGCTTTGTTTGTTTACATTAGACGCGACGTTGACGCGACCCGACTAAAATCGCAACACGAGGCAACAGTTCAGCGCAAGTGGGCGGGGGTTAAATATAAACGACGCATGAAACGACATCACACGACATTTAAAAGTTGGTTAAATTGTGTTTGTTGATAATGAACATGTGGCGAAGCGGTGTGTCGCAGTACTGTCTCAGCAAGAAGGTCGCTGGTTTGAGCCTCAGCTGGGTCAAGTTGGCATTTCTGTGGAGTTTGCATGTTCTTCCTGTGTTCGCGTGGGTTTCCTCCTGTTGCCCCGGTTTTCCCCACAGTCCATAGACATGCAGTATAGGTGAATTGGGTGAGCTAAATTGTCTGAAGTGTATGTGTGTAAATGAGTATGTATGGTTGTTTCCCAGTGATTGCAAAGGCATCCACTGTGTAAAACATATGCTGGATAAGGTGGCGGTTCATTCCGCTGTGGCGAGCCTGGATTAATAAAGAGACTAGGCCAAAAAGAAAATTAATGATTGAATGATAATAAACATGGCTAAAATTATTAAACACTTTATTATTTATTGGACAAATAACTATAATATTGACTTTATTACTATTATGTTCCCTAAATGCCAGGTCAGTTGACATTTAGTGAATTCGCGTGATGTTTTAAGTAATCCTAGTGAAACTTATAGGCTATGGCTTTTAACTTTACAATCTGCTGACCTTATCAGTTGCGCTATATATACTGTATTTAACCTAGTAAAGCTGAATTTACCTTCAGAGTGGCTTGAATAGATAATGCACCTTGTAATGTACTTCAATGTGCAAAACAAAGCCATTTCTTAACATCATTCCTATCTCAGGCTGATTTGATTTTATTCAACTTAAAATAGCTTTATAATAGTTGTACATTTAGAAGAGACTAAGATCAAAGTTTGATTGCCACCTTTAAACATGAGACAGCGCAATTACTGGTTGTTAAGTAATAATAAAGATAAACTGTTGGAGATAACATTCAAAGCATCAGCTAAAGTCATGCATTTATATTCAGATTCAAGATAAAAGAAGAAACTTTCTGATGCTCCTGTTGACCTTATGTGGATGTTCTCACTCAGGGCCTGCTGGTCTGGTGTGTGCTGAGACACTGAGGCAGGAGGGCTTCACTGACCGTATAGTGATCTGCACCACGGACAAACATCTGCCTTACGACAGGCCTAAACTGAGTAAGGTTTGTACACAGAACAGTCCATAGAATAGTGTGGGGGGAAAAAAAGGTTTAACCATGTAACCCTGGACCACAAAGCTAGTACAAAGCTACACTATTTATTCTATGATTCATTAAATGATCCAAAATGATCTGCTTTTTCCTGTATGCCGAATATCTTTACAATATTAATTAAAGATCACCTTCCTTGATGACTTTTCAAAAATGCCATACTGTCAAAAAAAATCGGATCATATTAAAGGTGATTTTCTCAGTATTTTTAAACCTTCATATTCCAGATTCTTAAATGCTTGTATCGCAACCAAATATTGTCATATCATAAATCATACAACAGCAGAATTAATTCAACTTGTATAAATCTCAGTTTGTTATGACTGGTTTTATTGTCCGGGGTCACATATTCAGTACATGATTACATGACAATTTCTTTCCAGTCGAAAGTTTCATTCCGACACTCTGACATTGATTTGATGCTTTTCTTCAGTCTTTAGAGAGCACGGCTGAACAGCTGCAGTTGCGTTCATCTGATTTCTTTCAGATGCATGACATTGAGGTATTACTGGAGAAAGAGGTGAGGTCTTTGTAGATAAAGATGAAAAAAATAACATATAAAAACATGTAAATAACATAAACATGTAAATAAATATTGTAATCTTTCAACCATGATACAAAATACTAAGGCAAATCAGTCTGTAATACTATATTGGAACTATACCCTTGTAATACATAACATAATTTTAGGAATAATTAATTTTGTTAATAATGTAACAGCATTACAACAAATGACTTCTGAATATGTTTTTGTTGTTTTTTTTTTTACAAATGAATATTCAGAATTGCACAAATTGTCATGTTTCTGCACAGGTTGTCTCTGTGGATGTGAAGACACACACTGTGACATTTAGGGATGGGTTTAAAATGGAATATCGAAAACTCTTCATTGCCACTGGAAGCAGGTAAACATGAATACAGCTGAACTACTATTCAGGCAGGGTCCTATCATACGCCCAGTGCAATAAGGCATAACATGTTCCTAGCTCGATTTGTAGCTGTATTCAGACCAGTGCAACCCTAATTTTCATATTTTGCGCCTTGTTGTTTAAATAGCAAATGCATTTGCACCGCTTTGTGGACTCATGGCAATTCCAGTCTAAAATAGAGGTGTGTTAAGGCGCATTGTTAGCGCGTTGCTATTTTGAGAAACTAAGGGTGCTTTCACACCTGTAAATCGATTAATTTGTTCCAAAACAGGAATTAAATTTGTTCCATTGTTGCTCTTTGTTCTTGGTGCGGTTTGCTTTCAAGTTTCTAAACTAACCAAAATAGCTAAAACAAGTCCCACTCAGCTGTCATGTGTCCTTATTTTAACTTATGACGATGAGCAAAAAGACATTATAAGTGAATAGCTGCCTTTTAATTTTAAATGGTGACACCTTCAGATATCGTCAAATATAAAGCAGAGGTAAGACTTTCTCATAGATAGCAGTTGGCTTATGCATTACAGGCTTTACATTATAGAGAGAAATAACAGATAAACTAAGACTGCAGGTCGGTCAGCTTTCCTAACGGATAAACAGCTCTCGTTAATTGTTCAGCATGCTTTCACTTTCGTATTTGAAATGAAACACACATTTACCTGTTGAATGACATCCCGCCCAACTCATAATTCTCTTTATATAGCCATATATATGCCTATGACATGTCCATGATACGCTGTGATATAGCCGGGCTCAGATCGTATCGCCTTCTCACTACAATCGATCCACTCCAGAGTTCGTTTCAATTAAGCCCAAGAGCACCTCATTCAGGCGATCTTGGTGTGAAACACCCTAAAATAGACTGTGCTATTGAACAAGTCCAGCGCAGAGCGCGTTAGTTATGTGCGTACAGTATGCAGGATCAAACGATTAATACACACAGGATGTACAGCAATACACAAATATCTTTACAAATGAAAAAAAAAAAAGAATTAAAATGTTAAAAAAGTTATTATTTACTGCATATATATAAAAACCACTGCCTCCATGCCTTCTTTATGTCAGGGGGCTTTTTTCAGTTTATTTATGACAATTTGCTTTCGTATAATTTCCTTGTTATTATTAGAACTATTATTTATTATATGCATATTTATATTTCTTTTTATAAAAACTAGTTTAGGTTGGCGCCAGTGGTGTAGTGGTTAGTGCGTCGACACATGCACTCGCGGTGACCCAGGTTCGATTCTGCCTCGCGGTCCTATGCCGATCCTTCCCCTCTCTTTGCTCCCCATGCTTTCCTGTCAATACTCTCTACTGTCCTATCAAAAATAAAGGTGAAAACCCCCAAAAAATTATTATGAAAACTAGTTTAGATTTGACCATATGGGGCATAAGAATAGGATTTCAGTGAATTCAGTGGAGTGTACAACACAGTTTCTTCATCCACAAAAGTAAAAGTAAAGAGAAAGTAGAGAGGCCGAATGGAGAAGGCTTGTTCTTTATCCTTGCGCTGCAGATGGTCTGTTGAACTGTTTTCTAGCAAATTTACTGTTTTTTTGCAAATTACACATTATTTGACTGTAATATGAACTGTATTTTACTGTAGGATATTTATGCAGCATGCTACCGAATTTTACAATTGAATTGTAAAAATTATGTATATTATATGTATAAAATATGAATATTATATGGATAAAAGTATGTATATTATTTGTATAAAAAATGTATATTTTACAGTAAAGATATACATACAATTATGTAAATATATATACAGCAAGCTAAATGGTGCTGCAAATGTAAATACAGTATGTTTGCTGTAATCTATTTACAGTAAGCTACTGACAAACTGGTGCCAGTAAGTTACCGTAGATTCTATGGAATCTAATTGATAAGTGTATGATTTATTTATATTTTTTACTCTTCTTCTGCAGTTTTTTTCAAGTGACAGATTGCTATACTGAAAATAACACTACAGCATTTCAAATAATGGAGCATTTTATTAATCTGATATCTATATTAGGGGTCACCCCTCTAAATAGGGAGAAATTGTTTGCTCTGATCTGCATCTTAAATACTAATATTACTAATTAAAGTATTAGATAATACAAACTTACATGGCGACACAGTGGCTCAGTGGTTAGCACTGTTGCCTCTCTGCAAGAAGGTCACTTGTTCGAGTCCCGGCTGGGTTAGCTGGCATTTCTGTGTGGAGTTTGTTTGTTGTCCCAGTGTTGGCATGGGTTTTCTCCGGGTGCTCCGCTTTCCCCTACAATCCTATACTAAGCTAAATTGGCTGTAGTGTATGTGTGCGAATGCAAGAGTGTATGGGTGTTGCCCAGTACTGGGCTGCTGCTGAAAGGGCATCCGCTTCATAAAACATATGCTAGACAAGTTTGCAGTTCATTCTGCTGTGGCGACTCCTGATTAATAAAGGGACTAAGCCTAAAAGAAAATGAATAAATGAATGAATAAATATACATTTGACCACTTATATAACGGATCATGCCATTGTGAATGCATAATCTTGTGAATCTACAATGATAGACATGGTAAGTGTTCACACTTTTCTTGTAAAATAGGTGTTTGTTTCTACATGTGGCCTTAAAGTAAAATTAGATGCATAGTTTGACCAACAGTAACCTCTGAAATTGTTAATCAGAGGACACAGTAGGTCAGATTACAAAAAATATTCCACAAAACACTGAAAATCTTTTAAAATAGAACATTAGATTAACTGTATTACACAAAGTAACATTACCAAAAAAGTTGACCCCCCTGCACGTCACTGCTCAATTTGTACCATGGGAAAATATTTTTTGACTAAATAATGAAGTGCACAGATATATCGTTTATAACAAGTACTATACAAATAAAAATAAGAGTAAATTTAATTTTAAGCAGACATTCTGCTGATCTTAAATCTTACCAATCCAAATTGGTGAACATGCATTTTGTATTTGTAACGAGGAGACTTACACTGAGGGATCCATTATGCAGTATTTATTAGTCAAGCTTTCACTCAAACACACAATATGCACTAAAGGGCAAACACACATCCACAATAGTCTATGAAGTATCAAGACTGGCGATGAACAGACACAGAGGGGTTTACCAGGCATTGGTCGAGGGCAGGCTGCGAGTATCAGAGTCCGTGTATCAGGCGTGGGTCGTGGGCTGGCAGCGAGTATCAGAGTCCGTGTATCAAGCGTGGGTCGTGGGCAGGCAGAGAGTATCAGAGTCCGTAAATCAGGTGTGGGTCGTGGGCAGGCAGAAGGCGAAGCAGAGTCAGAAACAGGCTGGAGTAATGCACGAAGAATCAGGCAGGGAATAACGCTCAGAAATGCTGGCCGGGGCTAAACAAGACTTTGCACTGAGTGAGTGTTTGGAACTGGCTTATAAAGGGTACGTGGGTCGTTAGCTTGATTCAGAACAGGTGTGTGCACAATCAGCGTAAGTGGATGATGTAATGCTAAAAGTCCGGAGATGGCGGCCTCTGCTGGCCAGCGAGGGGAGTAACTGGGACCGAGTCGGTGACAGTATTTGAATTTAAAAGTTTTTGTTTGTTTTTTTCTTCATTTTTACAGGCCCAAACCTCTGAGTTACAAAGGTAAAGATGTGGGAAATGTATTTCACCTCCGAACGCCAGAGGATGCCAACAGCATCGTCACACTCGCCAGCAGTAAGAACGCCGTCATTATTGGAACCTCGTTTATTGGTGAGGATATAAAATTCACATTTTATGTATAAGTGAAGTGTTGCTCAAGCCACAATTTAAAGGGATTGCTATTCGAATATTAGACTTTCTGACTTTCACAAAACTTTCTGAGTTTGAAAAATCAATGGACTAATCTCATAGTTTTTGTGATGAGCTACAGTACCTGAGAGAATTTGATGAGAACTGATTTCACACATCCACTCAAAACAATTGAAAATTGAGAGATGAGTTGAAAATCACTGCATAAAAAGTAGAGGCATAGAAGCAATACCACATTCATCTGTTGAAAAAAAAAGATATTCTGAAGAATATTAGGGAAAAAATTCTTTGTTCTTTTGTTTTTTACAGAACAAAGAACAGATTTTAAATGTTTGGGTGAACTATTTCTGCTTTTTGGTGTACGTCAAGTTGTTATATATGTTGTTCTGCGTTCAGGAATGGAGGTTGCTGCAGCTCTCACAGATAAGGCTCATTCAGTGTCTGTGATCGGCATAGAGGCTGTGCCATTCCGGAAAGCTCTCGGAGAGAAAGTCGGGAAAGCTTTGATGAAGGTAAGGAAAGTGTTTTGATAAACAGATGAATGTCATGCTTATATTAGTAAAGCCATATGGTTTACCTTACATATTAAAATAAAATAATTTCATTTTATAGCTTCCTTAGTAAAGATTACACGGTCCAGTATTGAATCCATTCAGAAAATCTTCAGATCTTGCAGGAGCTCTTTTAGCTTAGCTTAGCATCAATCATTGAATTCGATTAGGCCACCAGAATCTTGCTCAAAAATGTAAAAAAAAAAAAAAAAAAGTGTAAAAAATTTTCATATTTAAAGCTTGTCTATTCTGTAGCTACATCGTGTACCATAACTTCAGCAGTCACAATGATATTACCATATGTTTATCTGTATCTATATCTAAGCGTTTTCGCTGGATGCTTCAGCAGACACGAAGCCTTAGTGCACAATGCATCTACAGAATTTAGCATTTTGAACAATATGCTAATAAGTTTAATCCGAATCAATGATTTATGCTAAGCTAGGATAAAAGTGCTTCCCCCAGGCCTGGAGATCGACTGAATGGATTCAAAAATTGTAAAAATCAATGCCTTAGTGCACAATGTAACTACAGAATTAAAAATTTGCTAAGATGCTAATGGTCTAATACAATTCAATGATCTATTCTAAGCTGAGCTAAAAGTGCTCTCTCCAAACCTGGAGATCAATGGAAATTTGATTTAAAAATGATACATAAATTAAAAAATGGTAAAAATCAACTGTTTCATTTGAGGGGAGTTCACCCAGAAATGTTTTTCTCAAAAAAGTGGAGGTAATAATGTTGTAAAAAACACTTTATTACGTTTTTTGCACAGACCTATAATTTCACTTGATAAGTCGGCTGTGTATCATAAAGAGCCACGGGAATTAATTTAGTTTAATCTGTGCATTTTTGAACTCTCAAAATGTCATTAGCTGTTGACTTGGATTTTATGAATGAGATTTTTTTGTGAACTATCCTTTAAATAAAATTGGGACATACAATACTCCACCTTTAAGTGTGAATTCATGACTTTTTTTGTTTCTCTTGTCAGCTGTTCGAGGCCAACAGGGTGAAGTTCTACATGTTGAATGAGGTGTGGGAGATGCGAGGGCACAATGGACAGGTATCATGAAAGTGAGAGAAACGGGAGTTCAGTGAAGTTAAGACTCTCTCTCTCTCTCTCTCTCTCTCTGTTTCACTCTCTCTTTCTCTATCTTCTTACTGTAGAGAGATTAATTAAACCTCTCACAGTATGATTCGCTGTGAATATTTTAATCACAGCAATTGCAATAATGTATCTACCCTTGGTTAAAACTCCACAAACTAATAACACAAGTAAACACACACTCAGTGAAGTAAATGTATAATTGACAGTATGTCATATCTGTTATGAATTTGCTCTTTTGATAAATGTCTTTCTGAAAAATGTACTGAGATTTCTATTCTGTATTATACAAGTCAAAGTGGTAATGTGAAACTGAAATATTTTGACTTTATTTTAATAGCTCAAAGAAGTGGTTCTAAAGAGTGGCAAAGTCTTAAGAGCTGACGTCTGCGTCATTGGCATAGGTGGGTCAATGAAATTACACATGCATGGCTTCTCAATTTTGTCAAATATATTTCTCTCCCTATATAAAAAGTACTTAAAATGTGGAACTTCAATAGAAATTGTGATACTTTTTTCAGGATTCTTTGATAAAGAGAAGGTTGGGTTTGAAATCTTTTTCGATGTCACTTTTGATCAATTTAATGCATACTTTAAAAATGGTGTCGAAATTATTGGCATGGAAACTTTACAGCTCATTTCAATTAAATAAGTACCACTGAAATAAAGTAAAATAGTAAAGTAAATGACTAAACTCATTTGTTACACCATTGTTTAAATCAGTGGTTCCCAAAGTGGGGGTCGCGGGACAATAACCGGGTGTTTATGAAAACCTTAGTGATTTACAAAACTTAAATAAATTTTATTTAACTATTAGCATTACCATATTTTATCCATAACCCACAAAATATAAAAATAGTAGGTAATAGTTACATAAAAAAGCAACAACATGCAAATGAAAAGCAATTAGCCGTGAAATTAATATGATTGGTGTGTTTACGTTAACAACGATTAAATGATTAACAACAATTACAATTAACAACACATCAATAGCGTCAGATGCAGAAGATTGATATTATAGCACCATGTAAACTTTTTGACACCTTTATGGAAATCAAATACATTAAAAATAAATACAGGCCACAACTGAACATTGAGATCGATCTCGTGAGTGACGGTCTCCAAAATTAAACCAAGCATAGACTTGTGCTGAAAACGTTCTGCCCGCTAGTCTCTTCAGGTGAGGTCAATATAAAATTAAACAAATTAATAAATGACTGAAAAAAAATTATTGTTAGACTGTTGCACTTTTTTGTGTTGTCAATATGCTCGTGTTTATTTAAGTGAAATATGGGAGTCACTGGCATTGTTATTTTGTAAGTCGCGGCCTGAAAAGTTTGAGAACCCCTGATCTAAATCATAGGTCTCAAACTCAATTCCTGGAGGGCTCCAACTCTTTTTTTTATTTATTTATTTTTTTAGATTTTTATTTTTGGCCTTTTTTAGATAGGAAAGTATTAAGACAGGAAGCAAGGTGGGAGAGAGAGAGGGGGTAGGGAAATGTCCTCGAGCCGGGATTCGAACTCGCGAAGCCCTGACGTGCTACTGCACCATATGTCAGCGCGCAAACCCCTAGGCTATTGCGCCGACGAGGGCTCCAATCCTAATCAAACACAGCCCATCCAAATAATAAAGGTGTTCAAGACTATTAAGCAGGTGTGAGTTTGAGGTGGTTGGACCTAAACTATGCAGAGCTGCGGCTCTCCAGGAATTAAGTTTTAGACCATTAATCTAAATGATGTAAATGACTGAACCATTGTTACAGTGAAAGTGTATGTGCATGTGTTTAGGTTCAAGTCCAGCCACAGCATTCCTGAAGCAGAGCGGGGTTCACATAGACTCTAAAGGATTCATCCCAGTCAATAAGGTTCAGTCATTCTCCACTGTACTGCTCCATATGCACTGTACACCTGTTTTTGCATCAAAGAACACATCAACATCTGCTAGCATTCAGAATAGGTGCCTGTTTTTGTAACCTGTGCTAATTAGCTCATGCTTGTTTCTGCTGTATCAGTGCTAAATTAAATACAATGATAATGAGTTCATCGGGCTGCAAAGGACAAACTACATAGTGTGTAAACCTACACCTTTACCTTTCAGACCATGCAGACGAACATAGATGGGGTGTTTGCTGGTGGTGACGTGGTCACGTTTCCTCTAGCTCTACGCAGCAATAAGAAGGTGAACATACCCCACTGGCAGATGGCTCATGTACACGGTGAGACCTGTAGCTCTATCTGTCTATCACTAGCAAACCATGACAGCTATTCTAGGAAATGATAAAAACATGTTAACACTTAATAGTAAAAGGCTAAACATGGTAGCAATGTCTGTTTCTATCATTAGCATGCTAACAACATGCTACAATTATGCTAAATTATGCTATCAATGATATAAAATGTTATTTGTATTCTACCAACATGATAAAGCATGCCAGCAACATAGTAAATCATGGTAGCAACTTGTTAAAGCATTATAAACATGCTAACACCGTTAAACCATTACATTTGGTAAAACATGCTAATGACATGTTAGTGTCAGGTAAAAGCATGTTAGAAACACACTAGCAAACATGTTGGAACTCCTACCCATGTACTTACAGCATGCTAACAACGTGTCAAAACATGTTACAACATGTTAATGTTAAATTATTGCTACAAATTATTAAATTCAGTTATGTCCTAAAATATGCTAGCAGTTTGGTAGCATCTTGCTAAATCTATCTATCTATCTATCTATCTATCTATCTATCTATCTATCTATCTATCTATCTATCTATCTATCTATCTATCTATCTATCTATCTATCTATCTATCTATCTATCTATCTATCTATCTATCTATCTATCTATCTATCTATCTATCTTTTACTAGGATGCTAATAACATTAAAACACAATACTAGCAGCATGTTATGCCAGCAATAGATTAAAATGTGGTAGCAACTTGTTAAAGTATTATAAACATGCTAACATCATTAAACCATTACAGTAACTTGCCAAAACATGTTAGAGACATGCTAACAACATGATAAACATGGTAGAAATACATTAGTAACTTGTTAAAGCAAGTTAGAACATGCTAGAAACTGGATACTGGTAAGCAACTTGCTAAAACATCTAACTATCACTAGCACGCTAACAACTTGTTTAAAAATGCTACAAGTATACACAATTTTGCTATCAGTGTGATAAATGCTATTATTATACTAGCAGCATGATAAAGTACGACAGAAACAGAGTAAAGTGAGGTAGCAACTTGTTAAAGTATTATAAACATGCTAACATTGTTAAACCGTTAGAGTAACTTGCTAAAACATCCCAGTGACATGCTCTCTACATGATAAACAAGTTAGAAATACACTAGCAACTTGCTAAAACATTTATCTATCACTAGCATGCTAACATCATGTTACAAATGTACAAAATTTTGCTAGCAATGTAACAAAAATGCTATTAATATACTAGCAGCATGATAAAGTTTGCTAGCAACTGAGTAAAGTGAGGTAGCAATTTGTTAAAGTATTATTAACATGCTAACATCATTAAACCATTATAGTAACTTGCTAAAACATGCCAGTGACATGCTAGCAACATGATAAACATGTTGCAAATACAATAGAAAATTGCTAAAACGTGTTAGAACATGCTAGAAACTGGACACTGGTAAGCAACTTGCTAAAACATCTATCTATTAACAGCACACTAACAGTTTGTTTAAACATGCTACAAATATTCAAAACATTGCTAGCAAAGTGATTTAAATAATGCTATTTATACTAGCAGCATGATAAAGTGTGCCAGGTACCGAGTACAACGTGGTAGCAACTTGTTAAAGTATTATAAACATGCTAACATTCTTAAACCATTACAGTATCTTGACGAAGCATGCCAGTGACATGCTAGCAACATGATAAGCATGTTAGAAATTCATTACCAACTTGCTAAAACATGCTAGAAACTGGATACTGGTAAGCAACTTGTTAAAACATCTATCTATTACTAGCATGCTAACAACATGTTAAATCATGCAAAATGCTGCTATCAATGTAATACAAATGCTATTAGTATACTAGCAGCATGATAAAGTATGCCAGGAACAGTGTAAAATGTGTTAGCAACTTGTTAAAATGATTATAAACAAGCTAACATCATTAAATTATTATAGTAACTTGCTGACACCTGCCAGTGACATGCTAGTAACATGATAAAAATGTTAGAAAGACACTGGCAACTTGCTATAACATGTTGAAACATGCTAGAAACTGAAACTGGTAAGCAACTTGCTAAAACATCTATCCATAACTAGCATGCTAACAACATGTTAAAACATGCTAAAAATATACAACATTTTGCTATTAATGCGATAAAAATGCTATCAGTACACCAGCAGCATGATAAAGTGTGCCAGGAACAGAGTACAATGTGTTAGCAACTTGTCAAAGTATTATAACTATGCTAACATCAATAAACAATTATAGTAACTTCCTAAACATGCCAGCAACATGTTAAACATGTTAGAAATACTCTAGCAACTTGCTAGAACATGCTAGTAACTGGATACTGGTAACTATTATTATAAGATGATAGCAACTTTATGGAGCAACTTGCTAAAACATTTTAGCATATCCATCTGTTCCACTGCAGGTAGACTGGCGGCACTTGGGATCATGGGAAAAGCCTCAGATATAAAAACGGTGCCTTATTTCTGGACAGCCATGTTTGGAAAAAGCATACGATATGCAGGTAAGGACAAATTTCTATCACAAAACTGCACATGGATTGCAGCTATTCATGATTTACATATTCAGTGTGTGTTTAATGTACTGTAGATTCAGTATCAGTGCTCTTTTGATGCATCTCAAGCAGTTCAAATGTTGTCATCAAGGTTACGGTGATGGCTTTGACGATGTCGTCATCCAGGGAGATTTGGATGAACTGAAATTCGTGGCGTTCTACACAAAGTGAGTTTATTTGATTGTTATTGTCTCCATATTTCATCATCATCAACACATCTAAATTGATTTAATTGATTTACAAAGCTTTTCTTTGTATAGCAAAATGCTATTCGATGATGATGATGATGATGAAAAGCCTTTATTTGTCACATACACAGATGAGAAAGAGGAAAGAAGATACATTAGGGAAGAGGGAGGTGAAAAAATATCCCCTCTCAGACTGCTGTTGAAGTAGGGCAGTGTGAGATCAGGAAGAAAAAAGCCCCAGCAAAAGCACATAAACTCACAGACATAGACAGAACACAACAGGGGATGGGAACAGGAGATGTGGATATAGTCCGATAAAGGCAGCAGCAATCTGGTCCTGCAGCCAGGGGGCGCTGGTCACAGACCAGCCTAACCACACAGGTGGATAAAAACACACTAAGATGACGTGGGATGTAGGGGTTAGACAGTGATTGTCTATCTGTAGCTGTGTGTGTGTGTGTAAGCCTGTAGAGTCTCCAAGGTGTCCTTGGAACAGGAAGCAGGAACTCAGAGCGTCTCCTTATCCTGCTCTCTTGCAGAAGAGTCACAGGGAAGCCGAAAAAGAAGAAAAGGTTTACAATTTGGGTCAATATCTGTGAATTTCGCAGATATTTAATGTCCGTCACTGGTCTCCAGGTCTTACCAAATCACATTGCAACGCTGCTAGTTTCTTCCCAATGTTTTCCAATTTGCAGTCTAAGGCCACAGTCTGAGTACCAACAACCCTGCTCACCAACGTTTCAATCCAGCCGGTCAGCTTGTAGGGGTTTTAAGCCGCACTGACTGCTTTTATCAATTGTCAATATCCCAGGGCCCCGCCTAACCCTACTGAAAAAAACAGCTTAAACCAGCCTAGGCTGGTTGGCTGGTTTTAGCTGGTCGACCAGGCTGGTTTTAGAGGGGTTTTGGCCACTTCCAGGCTGGTTTCCAGCCATTTCTAGCCTAGTCTTAGCTGGTCAGGCTGGGAGATGACCAGCTAAAACCAGTTTGACCAGCCTAGCCATAATGGGAGCCCAGCTAAAACCAGCTATGTCAAGCTTAAACCAGGCTGGTCAAGCTGGTTTTAGCTGGTCATTTTCCAGCCAGACCAGCTAAAACCAGGCTGGAAATGGCCAAAACCCCTCTAAAACCAGCCAGGTCAACAAGCTAAAACCAGCCTAGGCTTGCAGCAGGGAAGCCCATTAGCAGAAACCCTGTTATCAAAGTTCGGAATAGATAGATATCTTCAACATCCTCCAGAGACAGAGGGGCCAGGCACACAACGTGCCACTTCTCCCACCCGTCCATCAAGTATCCAGCTGCAAATGTCCCTGCAGGACAGTTGGGTTTCCCAAAACCCAAACTTCTCGTTGAGAAGATGGGGTCAAATGTGTTCAGGGACCTGTTGATTAAATCCATAATTCCTTATTGTTTGGAGAGCAGGGCAAGGAGAGTCTCACAGATAGAAAAAAGACGAGGCCAGAGGAGCCAGCCAGGAGAGATATGGGAGAGAGAGGAAAAAAAGTATCCCCGTCTTCGTCGAGAGCCAAAGAAGGAAGGTTTTTGGAATAGTAATAAATGAATTAGTTGCTTTAACAATTAAAACATGAGTTAATAAATAAAAATATATACTTATAGTTACTTTTTTCCTTATTTTTTTAGTCTTTAGCCTGTAACATACTTGCCAGAGATTCATTATTATATTTATTAATGCAACTAATAACAGTACTTACTACTAATAATAAAAATAGTTAATCCTTTACACAGTAGATTAACACACATTATTGTTTTATTATACTCAATGTATAAAATTCAATAGCTTATAGGACCAGGTTTACTAAACAAGCCAAATTAATAAATGTGAAATTGCAATTTATTAAAAGCACAGTTGGGAGCTGAAACTGGATAGGCATTAAATTATGAGATAAATACCAGTGGACTCACTACCACAAACCTTAGTAAATCATATTGCATGATTTAAATACTCTCCTCCCATAAAATCATAAAATCCGGCTGGGATTTGTTTCTTGTGCAGTGCAAGTTTTCTTAAATTGCAGAGCTTAAGCTGTCTTGGCCGCTGCATTAACTAGCAAGCTGGCTAGATTAAGAGTATGCCGTTACACCGTGTTGAGTTGTCGCCGGTTCAGTGCTGCGTTTAATCTGCTTTGTTTGATTGCAGGAGTGAGGAGGTGGTCGCTGTGGCCAGTATGAACTATGACCCCATTGTGTCGCGGGTTGCTGAAGTTTTCGGTTCTGGAAAGACGATTAGAAAACGTGACGTAGAGTAAGTGCTTTTTTTTGTGGACTATAGATGAAGTTGGTTTGTTTAGTGTTTATTGTTTTTGTTTACTCTTACACTTTCAAAAAATCACATGTTATATACACTCACCGGCCACTTTATTAGATACACCTGTCCAACTGCTCGTTAACACAGATTTTCTAATCAGCCAATCACATGGCAGAAACTCAGTGCATTTGGGCATGTAGACATGGTCAAGATGATCTGCTGCAGTTCAAACCGAGCATCAGAATGGGGAAGAAAGGGGATTTAAGTGACTTTGAACATGGCATGGTTATTGGTGCCAGACGGGGTAGTCTGAGAATTTCAGAAACTGCTGATCTACTTGAATTTTCATGCACAACCATCTCTAGGGTTTACAGAGAATGGTCCAAAAAAGAGAAAATATCCAGTGAGCGGCAGTTCTGTCGATGCAAGTGTCTTGTTGATGCCAAAGGTCAGAGGAAAATGGCCAGACTGGTTAAAGCTGATAGAAAGGCAACAGTAACTCAAATAACAACTCGTTATAACCAAGGTCTGCAGAAGAGCATCTATGAACACACAATATGTCCAACCTTGAGGCGGATGGGCTACAGAAGCAGAACACCACACTGGGTGCCACTCCTGTCAGCTAAGAACAGAAAACTGAGGCTACAATTCACACTGGCTCACCAAAATTGAACAATAGACAATAAAAAAATGTTGCCTGTTCAAATGAATTTCTGCTGCGACATTTGGATGATAGGGCCAAAATTTGGTCTCAACATAAAAGCATGGATCCACCCTGTCTTATATCAACGGGTCAGGCTGGTGGTGGTGTAATGGTGTGGGAGATATTGTCTTGGCACACTTTAGGATAACATGCCATATAATAAAGCGTAAATCATCTCAGACTGGTTTTTTGAACATGACTATGAGTTCACTGTACACAAATGGCCTCCACAGTCACCAGATCTCAATCCAAGAGAGCACCTTTGGGATGTGGTGGATATTCACAGCATGGATGTGCAGCTGACAAATCTGCAGCAACTGCGTGATGCTATCATGTCAATAAGGAGCAAAATCTCAGTACCTTATTGAATCTATACCACAAAGGATTAAGGCAGTTCTGAAGGCGAAAACGGGTCCAACCCGGTACTAGTAAGGTGTACCTAATAAAGTGCCCGGTGAATGTGTAATCTGTAATCTGATTTAAAAAAAAATTGCCTTTAAATAAAGTGCTTAGCAATGCACATTACTAAATAATTTATTCAATCATTTTTTATGTTTTTATTTTTGAAATGTTTACAGTAGGAAATTTACTAAATATTCAAATGTTTTTGGAATAAAAGATTTTGACTCATACCATGTTTTTTTGGATATGTGAAACGTTTTTGACCCTGGTTTAAGTTAATTTTGTTTCATGCTAGTTTTTTTTAGTTAATGTATCTACAATTTTAATTAATTATTCCAACACCTTTGCACAAACACATAATTCGATGTAAAAATTTCTGTAAAAAAAATGCAGGGTTCCACACTATTCATACACAAACCAATTAAGTTAACAACAAATATAAGTGGATTGAACATAAAACAATTAAGTTGTCCTGAAAAAACCTCTACACAGTTTTTTGAGCGTACAGCCAAAATCAGAAAGTCATTGTGTTGTGTATAGAGTGGACAGTAAATATATAAATTATTTCAAACACCTCAAATTTGGACAGTATATTCTGTATACAGTGTCATATATACACAGTATATACATGGTTCTCTTGTAAAAGGTCAAATCTACATGTACAGTATATATTTACTGAAGTGAATGTTTGTATTGCTTACGTTTGAGTTGTCCTTGAGAATGCCTGTGTTATTTTCTCCTCAGGACAGGAGACATGTCGTGGCTGATTGTCAAAGGCTCACAGTGAGGAAGAGAGGTCAGTTTTCAGATGATCTCCTGTCACAGTTGTAGAGTTGCAGTTGCTGGAGCGGGACACTAGATGGAGGACATGCGCCGTCCCAAAAAGCCAGACCCGGACTGAGCCCACAGCATCGTCTTGTGGGGTCTGGATCCTTCCCAGTGCTAACACAGAAGAGCCATACCTGGTTTTTGGCCACCCGGGAACTGGATAGGACCTAGCTTTCTTTGCATGAAGCATCATGCCTGTGTTCACGGGACAGCAGCGGTGGGGAATGCTCACGGTTTATTTTCTACATGCCACTTTGTATATAGCTGTTCCCTGAAGATGCATTCAACATCCACAAGACTGCACTTTTTCTACCGACACACGCCTGGTTATGGGAACGCGAGCCGATCTCGTGGAAATCTGCTTCTGTAGATGCATGATCGTTCATCTGCGCATTTATATCTTCTTTCGTAGAAGGATCTTAAGAGGGTTTCGTAATTCAGGGAAGGTAATACGGTCAGCACGGTGTCCATCCACTAATATTGGTGCCCTTGGAAAATATGTGCAGGCATGGCAGCATATACTGTATATATATTTATATATATATATATATATATATATATATATATATATATATATATATAGAACATTATATATATATAAATATATATATATATATATATACAATATATATATAAAGAACATTAAGAACAACAACAACAACAAAAAACAAACAAAAATCCTGGTTAAAGGAATGTTCCACTTCTTTGTTTTCCTCAATATTTTAGATTTATCAGTTTTGAATCCATTCAACTGATCTCAGAGTTTTGCTGGAGCACTTTTAAGCTTAGCTTAGCAAATACAATTGAATCAGATTAGACCATTAGTATCTTGTTAAATAAAAAGATAAATATATAAATTATAGTTTTTTTATTTAAAGCTTGACTGCATTTTGTACTAACTCAGCAGACAGTCATATATAGGCCCACACGAAATCTACACGCGCAGAATTCCGCAGATTTTCCTCAGAATTCAGCAGAGTTTTAGTCCATCATTAATTCTGTTTATTTACTTGAGTAAATGTGTGTATATCTATATTTATTCAGTTTTTAAATTAATTTCAGTAATATTATTGACTAATATAAAAATGTTCATCTGATTTATGTACAGTAGTATTTTCTGTCTTTTAGTGGATATATGAAATGAGAGACTTGCTTTGTTTACCAAATAAAGTGGATCTAATTAGATTTGCATTTTAAACATTAAATAAAAGTTACAAAGATATTACTTTTTATTTCATATATTAAGGTTTTAGTTATGATAATCCTAAAATAATTCCACATAAATCCACAGATTTCTACCAAAATTCTCCGCAGATATAGCAAAAAATGTCTGCAGATTCTGTCTGGCCCTTGTCATAAGACATTAATATTAGGTTGTGTCTAAGGACAATGTTATTTTGATGTCCAGTAACGACGTGACATGATGTTGATATTTTGTTGATTTTAGGTTGTGACCAAAATCTAACATCTTAAACTATCGTCATATTGAGGTTAAATACTGACATTGATTTGTCAGGTATGGCAACCAAAATCCAAAGTCTGATAGACGTCATAGTGCTAATGTTCACACAATGTCAAGCTGCAACAACCTGGGACAACCTGATTTTCATTTTCAAACAAAATGCAATATACCCCGACGTTGGGGTACAATGTCAATCTGCTGTCATATTGACTTCCTCTTCTGCTAGTAAGATTGAGGGAAAATTAAAAGTTGCTATTTTCTATGCTAATATTATGGCTAGGAAATATACTCTATTATGTGTAACAATCTAGAAACTTTGCTGATGTACCAATGATATTACCATGCATCTAAAAATAATTCACTGCTAGCTAACTAGGTGACAGTGCTGCGAATATCATTGCTAGCCATATTGACATATTTCGAAAAAAAGTGGAGCGTTCCTTTAAATATACAGTTGAAGTCAGAATTTTTAGCCCCCCTGTTTATTTTTTACCCCAATTTCTGTTTAATGGAGAGATGTTTTCAACGCATTTCTAAACAATCGTTTTAATAACTCGTTTCTAATAACTGATTTATTTTATCTTTGCCATGATGACAGTAAATAATATTTGACTAGATATTTTTCAAGACACTTCTATACAGCTTAAAGTGACATTTAAAGGCTTAACTAGGTTAATTAGGTTAACTAGGCAGTTTAGGGTAATTAGGCAAGTTATTGTATAGCGATGGTTTGTTCGGTAGACAGTCGTAAAAATATATTGCTTAAAGGGGCTAATAATTTTGACCTTAAATGGTTTTTAATAAATTTAAAACTGCTTTTATTCTAGCTAAAATAAAACAAATAAGACTTTCTCTAGAAGAAAAAATATTATCAGACATACTGTGAAAATGTCCTTGCTCTGTTAAACATCATTTGGGAAATATTTTAAAAAGAAAATAAAATTAAAAAGGGGGCTAATACTTCTGACATCAACTGTATGTGTGCCACAATTACTGAATTCATGTGAGCAAAATATTTTTGAAGTACATATTCTTATTGATGTTTTACCTTTTTAGTACACCCTGGGTGAGCAGGAAAAGGAAATTGTTTAAGCAACAACCTCTACTAAAAGCTGTAAATATATATAAGGTAAAATCTGGCCAAAATTCATTGTCAGTCATCACAATTTGTTAGTTTTAAAAAGAACAACAACAACAACAACAACAAAAAAACTCAGCTCTTATCTGAAAAGTCGAGTAATAATTTGTTTAACATGAGAAAGTTAAAGGCAATTGTTTGGTATTTAAATTTTTATTTGTATCAATTTAGGTTTATATACAAATGTAGTATCAGTTCATTTTTATCCATTTAAGTTCATATTTAAATTAATATATAAGTTTAATATCAGTTCATATTTATCAATTGTGCCATTATTCTTGGAGGACACTGTATGCTGATGCATATGAATATAAATCAAATGTATGAAAAAGCATTATTTTATATCACAGCCTGCACATGGGCCAATTTCACAAAACCAAAATCAAAAGTAAAAAAATATCTTAAAAGAAAATTAGGTTTGTTTTATCTCTCTTAAAAAACAACAACATCATAATTAACCCAAATCTCATTACTGTCATTCTGAACAACTAATATTAAAAATAATAGCAGCATTTTTTAGATCTTATGTTAAGTATGTAAACAGTAGTATTTTTTGCACGGTATTAAATAAATCCTGATTTAAATGTTTACTGTTATCATACATTACAAAAATGAAAATTTGGAACGAAATTGCATGAAAATAGTGAAAAATACACTTATATGTTTTTGTTTTTATTTACTCTATTTATTAAATTATATCATAATACGTCAATGACAGCAAGGTCAAAAGAACTGACAAAGTCTATTATGTGGTATGTTTTGTTGTACAATACATGTAATACATTTTGCTAAAACAAATTTGAGGGAAATGTTTTAGTTAGTTACTAAATAAAATAAGACTAAATTAAATAATAGAAATATATAATATTCATATTAAAAAATGCAATAATTATTTATATTATTAATAAATACATACCGCTGAAGAAACCATTTTTAGCAGCCCTGTGAAATTTTTCAAATATTTCCCAATTGCTGCTTAACGGAGCAGGGAAATCTTCACAGTACTATTATATTTGTTGTTGTTAAGTCTTTAAACTGCACTTCAAGCTGAATACTCATATCTTGCAACACATTTGGCTGGCTGGCTAGCTCTCTGCAACTCTCACATGGTCACCCACTGAAGCTAAGCAGGGCTGTGTCCGATCAGTACCTGAATGGGAGACCACATAGTAAGTGGTGTTAGTGTTAGTGAGGCCAGCAGGAGGGCGCTCAACCTGAGGTCTATATGGGTCCTCTAACGCCCCAGTGTATTGATGGGGACTATATACTACTCAGTAAGCGCCGACTTTCGGATGAGATGTTAAATCGAAGAACTCTCTGAATGTCCTTTGAAAAAGAGTAGGGGTTTAACTCTGGCGTCCAGCCCAAATCTGCCTACTGGCCTCTGTCCATCATGGCCTCCTAACCATCCCCATATCATAACTGGCTTCATTACTCTGTCTCCTCACACCAATCAGCTGGTGTGATGTCTGGCACAATATGGCTGCTGCACACTGGTGGTAGATGAGGAGATTCCCCCAACAATGTGTCAAGTGCTTTGGGTGTCAGAAAAGCGCTTTATAAATGTAAGGAATTGTAACTAATATTATCTAGTAAAATATACTGTCATCTTGGCAAAGACAACAGAAATGAGTTATTAAAACTATTATATTTAAGTAATGTGTTAAAACAATTAATCTCCATTAAGCATAACTTAAGAAATATTTGAAAAATAATTCAAATTTCACAGGAGGGCTAACAATTTTGCCTTCAACTCTATATATTTTGTTTCTTTTTGATTTTGGGAGTGAATTAAGCCCAGTCCAGACTTAAATCCCTCCAGCCATTCCCGAGTTCACATTTCTCTAGTTAAACCTCCATGGCAATAAAGCGAATGTTTTTTCTCCTCGACCTGATGCATGAGGACTGACCTTTAACAATGACAATGTTACCTCTCGCTCATGGCGACTCCAGTTGCCCTGCTAGTAAATTGCACAAAAATGACAACACTATTTAAAGCTAGAACTTTTATCTATAGAAATGCTCGTATTATAAGAGGCTTGTATTTTCAGACTAATCGTGAAGTGATTCCTTGATGACAGACTGATTGATTGTTGATTGTATTTTTAGATTGTACGCAATCATAATAATAATGATGATGATGATAATAATAATGGATGCTTTTCTTGTAGCTCTGACCTCCTATAGCTTTTCTTTGGTACTAACTCAGGGATCGGAGGTTTCAGTCACATTGGACAGGTTTTGCTGGAATAGAAATGAAGAATAAAACTTGTTGCGATAACATTTTATTGTACTTCTGGTTCTCTTTTGGATATACTTACGCAGGCACGGTACTTATCAGGGGGTAAGACAGTGGAAA